TAGCTACTTCCGGTGATTGAAAAAATAATATCTTGCCCTTAGGGTCTGGATGGGAAAGTCTTCAATTCTGTATTTCTCAATTTTTATTTTTTTTGCCCATTAATTTCTATTCCTTATATTTTGACACGTCATTTTCTCTTAAAAAAATGGCCCAATTTTCTCTATTCTATAAACAACATCAACATCCTCCTTTATAGGTCAAACTTTAATGTTTTATTTTTCTGTATCTATTTCTTTTAAACGTGTTTCGATAAGGTGTGTACATGTATATGTGTCATACAATGTATGCAACTCAACTGTTAATAGGAATTCTAATATCAATTGAGATTTGTTTCGCTTCTTTTTGTTTTAGTATGAAAGTCAAACTCCTGTTTCATTCACACCTGACATCTACTCATCTCAAAATCAACTGAACACAAGAACAACAATGTACTGCACAACAATGTTATCAGTTTAATCTGAGTACAATTAATGTAAAACTTGGTTCTGATGCCATTGTGTATATGTTTCATTACATTTGGTAGAGGCAAAGTAAAGTTAAAGAACAGAAACCAATTTCGGGACATACAGACGGAAGTACGGACAGACAAGGGTAACACGTAATGCCGCGTCGCGGTGATGGCATAAAAATGTGAAATCATAGAATTCCAGTTCATTGTTGACCCTTTGACTCGATATTGCTCAGAAATAGTACAGAGTAGCACAACAAACGTCAATAATAAAAATATTTACGCTGGTAATGATTTTTGTCTAGACTGCGATGAAAGTCGCAGAATGTAAGACATATAGGAAACCGCATTTGTATAAAGCTGTATATTTCAGAAGGTAGAACACCTGGATGCTTCATACCTTGTACAACAACAACAACAAATACTTTATTAGAGTCTCACCTCTTTAAAAAGCAATTCTTTTCTAATCATAATAAAAAAAAACCATTATATACAGTTATTACGAGTATAAAATACATTTTCTCTTAAAAAGTACTTCAGGACAGATTTTGGCTGCGAAATAGCAAACTCTGTCATCATGAAACATAAATAAAAACTTTTCTTCATTACACAAATTATTAAAACTACTTTCTACATCGTATACACTGTTAAAAAAGATCGTTTCGCAAATCTGCATATTCTGGGCATTTCAACAATCAATGTTTTTCATCTTCAATTACATCTAAACAGGGATACCTGATCTAAATCATTTTTTCTACAATTAAAACAAAACCTTTCATTTATATCTATACCTTCATATCTGCCAGTTTCAATTCTAATTGGAACAATACCTGCTCTAAATTTAGCATATGCACTTCTGTATTTACTCGGCATAGTAATACTTAAATATTTTTCAATACAATAATTTTTATTAAATAACCTGTAAGTACGCTATTTACTGCTTTCATTAGCTAGTAGATTTGAATGCAAGATCGTCCATTACCTTTTACCATAGTCATTATAAAGGTCGCATGTGATGAATAATTGTAAACCATTTTCTTCTTTTATACAATTGTCAGTTTCGTTTGAATGTATGGATACTTTTTTTTTCTGGTAAATAATAAAAAGGTTGTTTTCAATATCTCTAATAACAGATTTGCTCAAAATACATTCAACATTACAATACTGAATAAGATCAAGTTCTTTAAACTTTGTATTCACTCTACAGTTCCAATTTTTTACTTTATCAAAACTGAGTTTATTACTCCAAAGAAAAAAATTCTTATTAAGTCTACAATTAGACATCTTATTAAATCGTGACCAAGTTCTAAATATAGTAGACCATTGTTTAACAATACATGATTTTCATCCCATATCTCCATAAAGTGCTAAGTTAGGGGTATATCTACCTACACACATAAAAAATCTCATAGCCTTATGTTTCAGTTAACAGCATTTATACAAGCAAATTCCTTAGTACCCCAAATAGAGGTACCATAATCAATCACCGACCATACAATTGAATTGAAGTTTTGTATATACATCATATTGAAAACTGCCACCATGAGCATTACATTTTGCTATTAATAACCCCAATGCCCTAATGGCAGATTTAGCAACTGCTTTTGCCATATCTTCATAACTCAAATGTTCGTTTAACAATAAACCTAAATATGTATAATTTGATACTTTATCAACAAATTTTCCATTAAAAACAAAAGGAAAATTAGTACATGGCACAGAAGGTGTTCTAAAATGCATAACTTTGGATTTTTCTAGATTAACCTTTATCATATTTCTATCCGTCACACCAACATTCTAAAGTATTCAAAATGTTTTGCAATTCACTTTCACTTTCTGTTAAGAAAACTACATCGTCTGCATATAACATTATACACACTTTTTCTTCACCTATGTTAATACCAACATTTAACTTTTTGACTTCATTAATTAAATCATTTAACTTAATACAAGACTGAACATTATTATATAAACGAAGATCTTAATGCCTTTATCATTTTAGAACAACACCAAGCAAGTCTAATTTATTAAATAACAATGTTCTATTTATAGTATGTAGATACCTTATGTTACGAAGTATCCGTTTGTCATATGCCCATTATCCTTGACCTCATTTTCATGGTTCACTGACTGCTTGAAAAAAAATTGTTAGTTATAATACTCATTTTGATGAGTAATATGATAACTATATTTGGTATATAGTTTCCTTGCAACGCTACATATCCGTTAGGTAGGGTTCATATAACCTCGACCTCATTTCATGGATCAGTGATCAAGGTTAAAGCAACGTGGACAAATCCTTATCTCAGATATTATAAATAATAGAAGTAATAGGTGAACTATATTTTGTGTATGGAATGATTGTAAGGTGTACATGTCCGACTGGCCAGTTACATCTGATCCCAACCTCAATTTCATCGTTCATTGTTCAATTTACAAGTTATCATGGTTTTGTCAGTTTATCCTGGGAACAGTCAATATATATGTTCCTGGTTTATCACATATAAGTAACAGGACAATAATATTTGGTGTAGGGAACTATTGTAAGGTGTAATGTATATGTCTGTCTGGCAGGGTTCATATGACCTTGACCTTGACCTCATGTTCATGATTTATAGGTCAATGCAAAGTTTCCTGGTATTTTCAGTTTATCAGATACTATAAGCAAAAGGGCAACTATATTTGGTGTATGGAATGATCGTAAGGTGTACATGTCCGACAATGTTTAGTTTTTGTGGTTTGGTCTATTTCTCAGATACTATAAGCAAATATGTTTGGTGTATAGGATGATTGTAAGGTGTACATGTTTGTCTGGCATGGTTCATATGACCTTGACCTCATGTTCATGGTTCATTGGTCAATTTACAAGTTATCATGGTTTTGTCAGTTTATCAGATACTATAAGTAATAGGACAATTGTATTTGGTGTAGGCAGGGACAGTCTATACTATATAGTTAGTATAGACTGTCCCTGGTGTAGGGAACGATTGTAAGGTGTACATGTCTGTCTGACAGGGTTCATATGACCTTGACCTCATTTTCATGAGAGGCCTCGGTGTCCGAGTGGTCTAAGTAGTTACTACTGTCATCACTAGCCAGTCAACACTGAAGTTGTGAGTTTGAACCCTGCTAGTGCGGGTGCACTTGACTCCAATCTTAATTGACTAGGATTGTCAGTTTTCCTATCGAAGGTCTGTGGTTTTCTCCGGCCACTCCGGCTTCCTCCACCAATAAAAAACTGACAGCCACGAAATAGCCCAAAAGCGGTGCTTAAAAGTGGCGTTAAAACACCAAAAAATCAAATCAAAATCATTTTCATGATTTATAGGTCAATGACAAGTGGGTCACAAGTTTTCCTGGTTTTGTCAGTTTATTAGATACTATAAGCAATAGGTCAACTATATTTGGTGTATGGAATGATTGTAAGGTGTACATGTTCGTCTGACAGGGTGCATATGACCTTGACTTAATTTTCATAGTCCATTGGTCAATGTTAAGATTTTGTGGTTTGATCTGTTTCTCAGGTACTATAAGCGATAGGACCACTATATTTGGTGTATGGAATGATTGTAAGGTATACATGTTTGTCTGGCATGGTTCATCTATCCGTTACCTCATTTTCATACAACATTGATAATGTTAAGCAATAGTGTGTAATAAAATATATTAGTCACGTTAAAAAAAAAAGATAATGTTAAGAATATGTGATACTTGTAGTAAAACCTTCATATTACAGACCTTTAACATAAATTCAATCATAAGTAGAGCCAGCGAGACATTTCAGCATGTGCAATCTTTTTTTTTTTTCCACCTTCACAATTATTAGGGACAATTTTGAATTACTGTTAAATCAATTTAGCCAAAATGTTCCTGAAATTAGCCGATTTTTTGTCGAGATATTGAATTATCTCCCTTATAATTTCACTTCAATATGTCATTCAAGTAACATCATCACAACAAAGCTCATGTTTACTTTTTACGAATGTCTTTATTCAAAGGTTAAAAAAATGCTCAAAAAGGTATCATAAAATTTTTCTTATCTTTGAGAATTTATGGGGCCATATAATACAAAAAGCAATGGTTACTACATTCACTACATTGCGATTTTTCATAGGACATTTGTGCTTATTTTAACGGACACATACACTTTAACTTTAACTTTAAACTCAATGTTTAAGACTATGTCAATGTGAACTAACTAACCACAGATATAAGATGAATTTATTTACGTAATGATTATAATTCATTAAAATTACAGGTCTATAGGTAAAAAACGCTAATGTCCGGACAATTTTAAACAGGTGAATCAAAATTTAAAGCGCAAATGTCCATAGTGTTTGGAGCGAAAATGTCCTACCGTGTTACAGGTAAAAAAGCGCAAACATCCTGAGCCCATTGATGGATAGTTGCTTGCTTAATGACCAGTGGCATGTATCAAATTATACTCTCTACAGAGAATTTGTACCTTATTACTCAGAATATCTTTTAAATATATTTTTATAATGTGTGAACTGTGGTAACCAGAAAGAAAGACATTTCAGCAAGTTCATGACAATTATAACAATTTATTATGGTATATTTATTGAAGAAGTACAAAAATAGTATCCATCACATGCTGTCCCATGTTTCTGTGATAAATGTATCTTGTCTACACAGTATTCTCCAAAATCATAATTACCAAATCTCTGCAAAAAAGTAAAATAATTTGGTCAATGATGAAAGAAATAACACAGCTGACTATTTGACAGTATGGTTTTCAGTTTTATTGCAATACTATAATTTAGTTATGGTACAATAAATAAACTGTTTTGATTCAAACAAAATGCGAAATGGATTGAAAATGTTTTTTCAGAGGCCCCTTAACAGCAAATAAAGTTGTGAAAAGACATTTCTTTTGTAGTAAGTCAATATGAATTCAACAATTAAATAGTTACAATGCAGAGCGACTGATATTGTCTACAACCAGTACACATACACTCCCAAAGTCTGCCTCACAAGATTATAGAACTCCAATGGGATACCTTACAGCAAAGACTAATGATCCAGTTACTTGTTTTTAGTTACAAAAAAATCCAAAACCACCTAGTGCATGACTGGAGCCTTCTGCCAAATACAGAATCATTGGCATAGGAGGAGTCCAGGACCAGATGAGCCAGTGTGACTGGACCATGATACAGCCTTACTAGACATAAGCCAATTAACATGTAGTGTAAAAGGTTTTAATTATTTTATTTATCATTTTCAAGGGAGAAGCCTCCCGTTTTAAGCAAGTGGAGTTAATGAGAGTCAAGTAGGAGGTCAACTCCATAACCAAAAGAACAGTACCCAAACTTTGTGTAGGGCTTACAAATGTTAGGCTTTATTATTTCTTGTATACTTTATGGTGATCAAGTGTTTATTTCATTCTTGTTTACTTTCTTTGGACAGATTTAAAAGTCTTAAGAAAGTATAAAGAAAATAAATTTGTTTTTGGTTTTTGTGACTGCAGCTGTTGAGCTGAATTTGTCAATTATTTAGTAATTCTTAACAGATTATATTTGTATTAAATTCTATCTGACCAAACTAGACAATATTGTTAACCCCTTCATCACATCTGATTGCTTGCAAATATATCAACACTTGTTTTAAATACATCAAAACCAATGATTAATGGTAACACACCTTTATAAGATTATAAGCATCAAATGATTCCCTTTCTACTTTTCCTTTCTGTTTTTGCATAGGAGCACCAGTAGGATCTCTTCTAAACAATGTATTCATTATTGTAACATGTAACTTAACCCTGTCATATTCCTGTGTCATAACTCCAGCTGATGTAAACTTATCCACTATTCTGTCTACCACCATTTGCAATCTGTAATGATATAATTTTAAATATTTGAAAAAAAACCTTGTACACTGAAATGTTTAAACACCCCTTATTTTTTGGCATCAATGGATTTGATAAATAAGGAGCACATAGAATTCTCAATTTTCCTGTTTGTAACAAAGACAGGCTGACAAATTGAATTCCAGAATTTATTCATATGATCATTTGGTCAATAAAAATTAAGTCATATTTAACACCTGAAAATCTCCTTTGTTAAATTTATTCAATTCTGAAGTGACACAAAGCCAAAACCTCTCTGGTTTTATGCCTTGCCCCAGAAACGTACAGATACTAAAGACCAGAACAATATTTTTTGCAGAAATTCTGATTTATGTCATTTTTACAACAAAAGAATGATTGGAATGCAATGTTTTACTTTTTTGTATTAGAAGGGAGATAACTGTATTGTAGTTTAAGCTTGGCCTACATAAAACATGGTAAAATATCTCATATATCCATTTACTAAGCTCTTCAAAGTAAATCATAGTAAACTAAACTTGTTTGACAGTAAAACCTATGTAGTACGATTTATGAAAATCACACTCAGAATACAATACAGTTATCTCCTAATTCTTCTATTTTACATCACTGTAAACAATGTTTTTGCATACTCCAATTATAGGGTTATGGTAAGATCAGAATGATGCAAACACATTGAATGGTATGTATCAAAAGAAACTGAATCCTGACTGATAGAGAAATTTTTAAGAGGTACCAAGTAAAAGTGCAGTTTCCTGCCAGTTTCTCCCCTTCTAGCTTGGAAACTGTAAGACTTGTGAACAATTTGCTGCCAAACTCCTGAAATGCTAAAATGTAATCGTAATAAAAAAACAAAGCCCTTTGGCATTTCGTTACCAAGAAACAGTAACAGCTATCGCATATCAGATTAACTCAAACAAAGTACTTCCATAAGGATGTAAGAAAATGGTTCTTTAATACGTAAGTTCAAATTTTGTGTGTTTAAACCAAGCATCCCTGATAACCGAAAACGCCTAAAACATACAAATAAACTGACATGTTGTAAAGTAATTTTGACAAAAGGAGTCAATGGAAAATATCATTAAACGTTGGGAAAAAAAATCACCATGTTTTCAGTGGCAGTCAAAACTCTGACCGTAGTGCACATCCAAGTCTACCCAGTTTCCATAACCTACCTGTTGGATTTGTTTTTTCTTTGTTCCTTTCCTGAATGGTAAACGGACAGAAAGTTACAGGACAAAAAGTCACAGGACATAAAGTCACAAATTTGATAGGACAAAAAGTCACAAATAATTTGTTGACAATTGTTTGAATATTAAAGAAAAATCTTGAAAGATTTTCATTTTATTACATATACTCATTTTACAGTTTAGGAAACTGTTCATTAGCCTTGATAAATGAAAATTTATTAAATTTTAATCATACAAAGGATATATTTCTTGGCACCGTGAAGCCGTTTAAGTACCAGTCCACTTTGACATTTTGTTTTCTTAACAATTTTTTGATCATTATTGATATTTATTAAATAAATTTTAATTACAAAGTTGATGTATATATAATAGTTCAACAAAAATACAAAATTATTTTTTTTAAATAAGTGTTTTCTTCTTCACAGAAAAATAATCTCAAAACTGAATTGTGACTTTTTGTCCTGTGACTTTTTGTCTGTGACCTTTTTGTCCGGGACTTTTTGTCTGTGACCTTTTTGTCCTGTGACTTTCTGTCCTGCATTCTCCTGAATATGCATGAAGATTTGCCAATGGACTTTATTCAAACAACAATCAATCATTGTTTTGTAATGTAGTGTTAACCGTAAAGACAATTTTGCTATTTCAAGTCAAATTATGGCAGGTTTCATATAACAATGACAATTTAGAAGGATTTCCTGGATTGCTTATGAAGTAAGGTCATTGATATCCAATCTCTTCTTTAGTAACTTCAGTGTTAACAACTTAACATACATGTTTTTTTTTTTATGTCAGTCACATTCTAAATCTGTAAATTTTATGACTGGAAAAAATGTGTGATGATATAAGTCTATTTATACCCTACCATTTGTACATACTTATCAAGGTTTTCTCCAGGGTCAATTTTGGCATACATCACATCCACTGCACGTGGATCATCATTCATATATTCCAATCCTCTTAAATGTATTAACAGTGGTTCAGATTTCAGAATAGGTCTTAAAAAAATCAGATTATTTGTTATAAGTTATGCAGCCTATCAAAATTTTCTATCAGTTCAATAAAGAGTTTACACCAATATGAAATAAGTTATAACATGCATATAAAAATCTGATACTTTCTACAGCAAAACTTCACTTGAAAGTAAAATCAAAATCTGTTCTGGTAATAATTGTGTATTACCTACTGAAGGTTCCACAGTCAAGACTTAACACTGCATAGACTACGCTAGAGGCTCTAATGAGATTGTATTACTCACATCATGGCATTTATATACTGTGGATTCATTACTACTTGTTGGGTACAAAATTTCAAGAATTTTGTGGGAATAGATGAACCATGCAGATAAATGTTCAATGAAGTATACACTTATCATAAGATTGTAAACTATGCAAACTTTGGCAAATCTATGAAATCAACGAAAATAATAATAATAAATGAATCCACAATATATATATATTAGTCATCATGGGTAAAGTTACAGTGTATTTATCAAAGAGACAGCAATCAAACAGCAAGAAAAAACAATATCCTACACTAATTGCTTAAACTTTGACTTACTTTTTGCTGTATTTTTGTAACAAATGCTTAATGTGAATATAACAACTACACTCACTCTATGAGATCCTCTTTACAACTACATGTATAACTCACTCTATGAGATCATCCTTACAACTACATGTATAACTCACTCTATGAGATCCTCTTTACAATTACATGTATAACTCACTCTATTAGATCCTCTTTACAACTACATGTATAACTCACTCTATTAGATCCTCTTTACAACTACATGTATAACTCACTCTATAAGATCCTCTTTACAACTACATGTATAACTCACTCTATGAGATCCTCTTTACAACTACATGAATAACTCACTCTATGAGATCATCCTTACAACTACATGTATAACTCATTCTATGAGATCCTCTTTACAACTACATGAATAACTCACTCTATGAGATCCTCTTTACAACTACATGTATAACTCACTCTATGAGATCCTCTTTACAACTACATCTATAACTCACTCTATGAGATCCTCTTTACAATTACATGTATAACTCATTCTATGAGATCATCCTTACAACTACATGTATAACTTACTCTATGAGATCCTCTTTACAACTACTACATGTATAACTTACTCTATGAGATCATCTTTACAACTACATGTATAACTCACTCTATGAGATCCTCTTTACAACTACATGTATAACTCACTCTATGAGATCATCCTTACAACTACATGTATAACTCACTCTATGAGATCCTCTTTACAACTAACATGTATAACTCACTCATGAGATCCTCTTTACAACTAACATGTATAACTTACTCTATGAGATCGTCTTTATGACTAACATGTATAACTTACTCTATGAGATCGTCTTTACAACTACATGTATAACTCACTCTATGAGATCATCATTACAACTATATGTGTAACTCACTCTATGAGATCCTCTTTACAACTAACACGTATAACTCACTCTATGAGATCCTCTTTACATTCATTTAACAACTGTTCAGCATTGTGTACTTCTTTGTCATCCATTAATGCCAAGATTCCTATTGTCAAATGCAACTTTTGTAATTTCTGGAAGATAGAACTGTCAATACCTCTTTCCTAAAAAGATAATTTTGATGAAATTAAAGGTTGTAATACATTTTGACGTTCATGATAATACCTGAAAGACTGATAGAGTATTTGAGTATCTTTTTCTTACTTCTACAATTTATGTTTATTTTAAGTGTTGTACAAACCTTACTACTCATCTCTCAGATCATGAGATGCTTGCTTTAATCAAGTTCAGCATAATTACTTTGAATCACTTCCACAATAGCTTTTATGACAGGTAAAAATTTAAGTAGAAAGGAATGAGTAATACATGTATGTTCCAAAAACTGCCTTATCGGGACATATAATTGGTCTACATTTTACAAGATTCTAAAGGATATCATTGGAGTTATCTCCCTCAACATGAGTTTTATTATGCATTCTATAGAATTTTTGTTCTCATTTGGTAAGTATTCATATAAAAAACTACTGTGGATTCATTATTATTTGTTGGGTACCAATTTTCAGGGATTTAGTGGGTATAGGTAAACCAAGAATTTAGATGTTCATCGAAGTTCCAATTATATATAGCCTTGTATGCAGACTTTGGCAAAACCAATAAATCAAATATCCACGAAAATATATTTTTCTCAATCTACGAAAATTGGTACCCTAAAAAATAAATGAATCCACAGTTAGATGAATTTCAACATACTTTTATATCCTAAATATGATGTTATTATTTTTTACTTCTAGGCTTTCCACCCATGAATCTTATATTGACTGGTTCTTTATTCAAGAGCTTCTTATCTTATTAAGAAACATATTTTATGGTCAATAGGTGTCATATTTTTCCCTTTCACTGAATCCAAGTGTAAGAAAACGGTTCAAGAACACAACAAAGTCTTTTACATGTGTACCAGTATTTTTTTTTTAATTTAATAACTTTGTAAAAATTATCAATAGTTTTGAATAAAAAGATCATTTCAGTTATCTATTCCCGAGTCTGATACAATTCTATTTACTATTTTATCACTATATGGAAAAATTTAAACATCTTTAATAGAAAATATCACTAAATGATGCACATATTTTTGTTCAATATTACAGGAAAAATCAAGAAGAATGCTTAAAGTTTTAAATTCCAAAGGAACCTAAGAATCTGGATCTAGGGCCAGTTAAACAGGAACAAATGGCTAGTTATTTTTCTTAAAATTTCCAAAATATGTATCAGTTTCAACATTAAAACAATATTTTTTTTATTAAATGGTAATCTAAGCAATTGACGACAACCTAGAAATGTAATTTTTTAAGCATTACTTGTGTCAATGAAATACAGGTAATCATCAATAACAGCTATTCCAATTTACTATTATACATTCAGATACTTGATTTTTGATCAACTTGATACTCTGAAAATATTCTGAAAATATTTACCCCATCACATTCTCTCAATACATCAGTTCTGAATTCCGCAAAACTCTCTTGCATCTTGGAACTGTTAATTGGAATTGAAAGAAAGTGAGTAAATGGTTCTCTCTGTCTTGCTCCATCTACTATCAAATCAATTCTTGTTTTAGCAGAAATGACTCCTTTTCTGTCATGACCCTGTATTACTGAAAAAAAAAACCCAATTTGGTCTTTAAATTAAAGGTACTGAATAAACTCATTGTTATAATAAAATGAAAATACTATTGTTCTTTGATTATAATTTAGTTCATTATTCACCATTATTTATACCTTACTAATACTTCATAAAATAAAGCATTATTAACTTAATGCCGTACCATGAGTGACCTTTAGCTTTTCACATTCACTTCATTTAATCTCTGGTGGATAGTTGTCTCATTGGCAATCATACCATTATCTCCTATTGGTTATATTAAATTTCCATTTCAGTTTTAAAGGTAAAAATATCATAAAAGTATCTAAATTTGAAGTATGTATAAATTTCTAAAACATTTAAAATTGTCCTTCTTCTAAACACAATTCCTCAAGTTTGAATTTACAAAATAATTGTAACCAGTTGAACTGTGAGCTATTGATCACTTATGATAAATATAAATAAGAAGATGCGATATGAGTGCCAATGAGACAACTATCTATCCAAGTCACAATGTGTAAAAAGTAAACAATTATAGGTCAAAGTATGGCCTTTAACACAGAGCCTTGGCTCACACCAAACAGCAAGCTATAAAGGGCCCCAAAAAGACTAGTGTAAAACAATTCAAACAGGAAAACTAACGGTCTAATCTATATAAAAAACAAGAAACGAGAAACACTTATGAACCACACCAACAAACGACAATCACTGAACAACAGGCTCCTGACTTAGGACAGGTGCATATAAATGTAGTGGGTTTAAAGGTTTTAATAGGTGACAACCTTCACCCTAACCTGAAACCCTAACCCTGCTATAAGAATTCCGAAAATAGAAGTTTGATAATTGATGGATGTGAAAACACATCATAGGTATAGAATGCTCACATAAAGCTTCTTTCCAAATTTTAAGAAGTTCTAAATCATACTTGCAATTATGTGTTAGATTATAAGTAATTTATTAGGTATTCAGGAAGTTGATTAGTGATGGATGTGAAAACAAATCACATGGCAAAGCCTGCACACACAAAGCTTGATATCTAAAATCATCATAGTTCCCGAAAAGATGTATGAAATTTTATACATTTCCATTATTGTATACTTAATAGTATCAGTGAACAGGAAGTTGATGAGTACTGCATCAAAAGGTATAGCATGCCCACAAGAAGTTTGCTACCAAATTTCCAGAAGCTATGATTTGCAGTTCCCGTGAAAAATGTGACTAGTTTTATGGGACAGATGGACAGAGGTTAACCAGTATACCCCCTTCTAAGTAGGGTTATAATAATAAAAATCAGGTTTTTGAATTTTCTGCTTTTACTAAATGTGACAAAAAAATCTAAATTCTTATGACAAATGCATAGTAAGGGTAAAACTCTTCAACAGTATAAGTCATAACTGTCAAAATCTGTTTTTTTAATGGTGCATGGCATTGCATTGAAATTTCAAAAGATTTGGTCAAGTTATATTCAAATGTTGATCCCGAAACCAAAATTAATGATGTACAGAGGAACAAGCGCATCACTATACTCCCCTCCCAGCCTCAATGTATGGAAATATTTACTGGTAAGGTAAACCTTTTTTACCTATTGTTAAGTTATTCTATAATGTCATCAAAATCAGATACATGTAAATTTTGATTGATTGTATGCACATAATGTAGTACAAAAAGTGAAGAAAGAGAAAGATAGTGATAAAGCATAAAACAAATTGTACTTCTCATCAACAACATGTTTACCAAAAAATCAGTATAGAGAAAACTTTATTTATTTCACTTATAATAGTAGTGTCTTAACTATACCTATAGGTCCCTCTTGTTACATGACATATGTCTCTAACTTAACTGTACCTATAGGTCCCTCTTGTCCATTCTTTGGTATTCTGATCTGAGTTCTAGTTTCTGTTTCTAGTCTTCTCTTTGTCTCAGCTTTCCTACCAATAATATGTTTAAAGAAGGTACTAGGGATCTCTAATTTTAACTGAAATCCACCATCTGTTTCTTCAACAGAAGTTTTCAAATCACAAACTTCATCACAATATCCAAAATCTTGACTATTTCCATCTAGAAAAAAAAAAACATTTAACTAGGATTTTGAATAGGCAAATTTTGTCTTTAAATGCTTGATGAATAAATATTTACTTTTATTTTAGAAGGTTCTTTTAAAACATGTAAAACTGGAGTCTGTTTTACTGATTATTCTAAAATTAGAATTAGCTATGATAAATAAAGGATCATTTCCCACAGTTTTACCAATACTTTCCAGTTCTCTCATGTTGCAAGTTCAAATTTTTATTTCATCTCATCTCAAAATGAAAGATCATATTCTCAACATATTATTGCCCAAGTTGTAGTTCCCTTCTTCCAAATTTTATAGCAATTTCCCTACTTCAACCCCCCCCCCCCCCCCCCCCTCCTTTCTCATAGTGACAAATTTCATTCGCATTTCACTCTCATCTCATGGCAGTAATACCTACATTGTATGAGAAGGAAATCTTTTGAACAACAAAACTATTGAGGTTCAACAAAATTTCACATGAAATTCTACTAAATAAGAAATTTTGAAGTGCAATTACTTGTAAGTCCACAATTCATCCCAAAATGTACATTCTCCTATGTACCGTAAACAGAATTATCTTCAAAATAACAAATTTACATTGTGTAGAATCAATTAATTCATTAAAGAAAGAATGATTAAAGTTACAATAAATCAGAATTTTTCCAACCATCATATTCATCTTCTTCATCAGCTGTGATATCTCTCTCGAGTGTAGGATTTTTCCTATAACATCTGTCTCCAATTCTTATTATCTGGGGTCTGAGGACATCCATTTCAAATGAAGTGCTCAAGTGAGATTTGTTACATCATTCTTAAAGAAAAAAAAACTTATGCATTTTTCAACCTTCTTGAAAATGTTTATTTGTCAAATTTTTTAAGTAATCATTGCTTGGTGGCTTTTACAGAATTTTTTTTATGATTAGTTATATAGTTATTTTTTCTATTTTAACTAATGGTATCAGTCTTTGTTTCCTATCTACTAAAATTTACTTATGTTGTTCATTTGACTCTTGAACATCACAGTGTATTCCCCATAGTGCTTTCTGATGATATTTCATAATAGATTGTATTCTTGATGAGGTGCTACAATTCAAAGGAAAAGATGTAATTTTGTAAACGGAAAAAGTCACAAATTTGGTAAGAAAAAAAAACCACACATTTGATTAATGTCATGAATGTAGTAAAAAAGTCACAAATCTGATAGGAAGCCAATTAGTTAATAACTGTCTGTTGAATTGTTTTAAAAACATATATTTTCATGAAAAACATTTTGTTTATAGTCTTCGAAAATTTATCAAATTGCAATCAACACAAACATTGAAATACCACACCCCTGTATTCTAATATTAAAAGATGTTGAAATATTCTGAAACACATTCCAGTTGATATTAACTACATACAAGTTCAAATAATTTCTCTGTGACTTTTTCCATACATTAAAGTCACATAATATTTATGTTTCTGGCTGCATCTTAATATAAAACAGACTGTTTTATATTTATCTGAATGGATATGACTGGTCATTTTAATTACAATTGTTTTTAAAATACATGTACATCAGCTACATGTAACTAATTAGTGTACATCACTGTGATTTGTTGCAACCATGGACAAAAAGTTGCAATTGTTGTTATGCTAAGCATACGCTACTCAGATTTTTTTTTATACATGTACCTGATTACCAACAGGTACATGTAATATGATACAGGAATTTCCTGTGAAATAGGTGGAATATTATGTTTGTTTAAAAAAAAGATAGGTCTTTAATGCTTATTCAACATACAATTTTATAAGATACTAGGAAACAAATAAACTAGAGGCTCTAGAGAGCCTGTGTCGCTCACCTTGGTCTATGTGCATATTAAACAATGGACACAGATGGATTCATGACAAAATTGTGTTTTGGTGATGGTGATGTGTTTGTAGATCTTACTTTACTGAACATTCTTGCTCCTTACTATTATCTCTATCTATAATGAACTTGGCCCAGTAGTTACAGTGGAAAATATTTTGTAAAAATTTACAAAAATTTACAAAATTTATGAAAATTGTAAAAAATTGACTATAAAGGGCAATAACTCCTTAAGGGGTCAATTGACAATTTTGGTCATGTTGACTTATTTGTCGATCTAACTTTGCTGTACATTATTGCTGTTTACAGTTTATCTCTATCTATAATAATATTCAAGATAATAACCAAAAGCTGCAAAATTTTCTTAAAATTACCAATTCAGGGGCAGCAACCCAACAACATGTTACCTGATTGGTCTGAAAATTTCAGGGCAGATAGATCTTGACCTAATGAACAATTTTATACCATCAGATTTGCTCTAAATGCTTTGGTTTCAGAGATATGAGCCAAAAACTGCATTTTACCCTATGTATTATTTTTTGCCATGTCGGCCATCTTGGTTTGCGGGCAGGGTCATCGGACACATTTTTTAAACTAGATACCCTAATGATGATTGTGGACAATTTTGGTTAAATTTGTCTTAGTAGTTTCAGAGGAGAAGATTTTTGTAAAAGATTACAAAAATTTACGAAAAATGGTTAAAAATTGACTATAAAGGGCAATAACTCCTTAAGGGGTCAACTGACCATTTTGGTCAAGTTGACTTATTTGTAGATCATACTTTGCTGAACATTATTGCTGTTTACAGTTTATCTCTATCTATAATAATATTCAAGATAATAACCAAAAACGGCAAAATTTCCTTAAAATTACCAATTCAGGCGCAGCAACCCAACAACGGGTTGTCTGATTCATCTGAAAATTTCAGGGCAGATAGATCTTGACCCGATAAACAATTTTACCCCATGTCAGATTTGCTCTAAATGCTATGGTTTCAGAGATATAAGCCAAAATCTACATTTTACCCCTATGTTCTATTTTTAGCCATGGCGGCCATCTTGGTTGGTTGGTGGGGTCATCGGACACATTTTTTAAACTAGATACCCCAATGATGATTGTGGCCAAGTTTGGTCAAATTTGGCCCAGTAGTTTCAGAGGAGAAGATTTTTGTAAAAGTTTACGGACGACGGACGACGGACGCAAAGTGATGAGAAAAGCTCACTTGACCTTTCAGGTCAGGTGAGCTAAAAATGAGTTTCAGGGAAAACTCACCTGATAATAAATTATAAGAATTTTTTGTATTTAAGTTTTAAATACACAATGACGTGTCTCTTTTCTATGATTTCATATAGTAATAATTATAATTTAAAATAAATAATAATTTTTAAAAGATAAAAACATTATATGAAACAAAGTGTAGACTATGTTTCTTTGTTAACATAGAAAATATCATAAATAAAATGCAAAAATAACAAGACCAACATCTGGGGTGATTCCGTATTTCATCTTACTTTCAACAGAAATTATGCAAGAAATTTGAGAAACATGGTTATTTTTAATGTTCAAGGTTTAATTTAATATAGAGACAATGAAATGTTATACACCTTATTGTTATTAAGTGGTCCAATCTGGAAAAAAAAATGTCACTTAGACAACTTCCTGTTTGGGTCAAGTGTCACAAAAACAAAGGTCATCAGTAATGAGCTGATGGAGGAAAAGTTAAGAAAGTGAAAATTTTTAAATTTTGATAGTTTACATGTATCATCTGTTTTTTTTAAACACAAATTAAAGTAATAAAAATGCTTTGTTTGAAGATTTTACGATGGTTTAAAAACATCTCTTTGAAAAGATTTATGCACAATACACTGTTTAAACAGGGACCCAGATAGCTTCAACTGGTTTGGGACATCATGAAAAAGTTATGTTATTTCAGAACTTATCCGGATTGGAATAAATAGTGATAACAGAGACATATATTATACATGTATGTCTCTTGTGATAAGGAATAAGGTGCAAGTATTTGCACAAAGTAAAAAATAATGATTTCCTTGGTAATTCTTATCAAAGTTATTTTATTACTTTCATTTTGACAAAATTAAGTAAGACTGCTTTACATGGCTAGCTGAAGAATTACGGACTTTGTCCTCATTCTTATTCCTCGGTAAACAGCTGGTAAACCAGTCTCATATTATTATTAAATTACTAAAGACATAAATTAAGTATTATGTCATAATGTCACAGTACCAAAATTGCATCGAGTACCCAAATTGCACCTATTTAGCAAAAATAGCAGCAAAAATCTTACAAGTTTCCCTAGGGACTAAACAATTTGTATTTATTATTATTTGACATTATGCACATCTTTCAAATAGATAAATATATTTAAATATTCACAGTATGTATAAACAGATAAAGTAATCACTGGAAAAAGTAAAATCTACGGAAACGTCGCAGGTCTTCTTTTAAAAATGAGCGAATAAAATATGTTACGAGCATCCATTTCTTAAAATATGAATAGTAAGCATGGACTAATGTCAAATTGTTCTAAATATTTGAAAAAATAACTAGAAACATCTGTTTTTTCGATTTTTAAGGACGTGAATTTAAGCATAGATGCAATTTGGGTACTCCTCATTACAGAACCATGGATCTTTTGGAGGTCGCTTCAAACCCATTTTTCTATGATTCATTATGGATTTAAAATTAAATTGGTGGAACTATATAGTAAGTAAGGATACATCTACAAAATAAACACAAAATGGAAACTTTTGTCTGGATCATAAATAAACGTAGGCGAAAAAACTGTCAAAATAGACCTGTGCAATTTGGGTACCCTCACGTTATATCAATATATGTCTCTGTATTACCAAGGAATAATTAAGGTTCATCATAACAAATGGACAAATATGACCGTATTTTCAACTCAAAAACTACTCTGTGTACAGACTTACCTGTGCTGTTTGGAAAGTTTTAAGGCCTGGCATCCACTAGATATATAACAGTTAAATTTATTTTGCATATCAGAAAGATAAAATCGTTTTTGGATTTTGATGGGCATTTTTTTTCCTTCCTGCAGAAGGTGTAAAAATTAACTAAGTTGGGATACAACTTTGAGATGCTCCCTCTCAGGTAACAACTGGTTTGTATTGTATTGATTGTCCTTGATTGGCATGGACAATAGATCTCTACACATCTATAGGTGAGTTAAAGGTAGAAACTGAGTGGACAGTATCAAATGCAATTCAGGTGTCTGTTTATTTTTACACCTTCTTCAAAGGAAAAAAAATGCCCATCAAAATCCAAAAACGATTTTATCTTTCTGATATGCAAAATAAATTTAACTTTTATATATCTAGTGGATGCCAGGCCTTAAAACTTTCCAAACTGCACAGGTAAGTCTGTACACAGAGTAGTTTTTGAGGTGAAAATACGGCCATATTTGTCCATTTGTTATGATGAACCTTAATTTTGTATATGTTCTTCTATATTGCGGACTTTCCCCTCTTTCACAGAAAAAACCTGCCTCTTCATATATATAAACTATTGAACAGAAACATGTGCGATTAGGAAAATATCTTACTTATTTTTTTTTCAATTTTAGCAGATTTCGCAAACTTCTTCCCGGAAGTTAAAATTTTCACGTCTCTACATTAAAGAGCAAAAATATTTTAGTCAATGTATGTATCAAAAACATTGAATTATTATTTGGTGTCGGTATTTGACCATGAATGTTAAAACGAATTATGGGAAACTTTTTAACATGTCCATGTGACACCAGACCCCAACAAAAATCTGCCTGAAGACATCTGCAGGGTAATAGAAGTCGATCTGCAACAATAAAGGAGGGTGTGGATGGGGATTTACAGAAACGAGAATAATGGGCAAAACATTTATAAACTTGAATAGAGAATAATGGATCAAACAAATAAGGAATAGAGAATAATGAGGTGCTAAAATATAAAGAATAGAGAATAATGGACAAAAATTATAAAGAATAGAGAAAATGGCCTTAAAAATAAAGAATACAGAAATGAAGGAACCATTATAGTTAAATATAAAACAATCCTGTGTAAAGGATTACCAAATACTTTCAAAAAGATATCTGAAGTTGTTGTAGGACAGTTATATTTGAGTCAGAGACATATATGTCTCTGTTTGAGTTGACTAATAACATATTATAAGTGTGTCTTTTTAATTGTCAAAAAGTTCAAGTTCAATGACTGTTTTTGGATTCTTATGTTGTGTGTGTATCTGCTCTAATCATTTGACAATATATCGGATCTATACCAAATTTTGTATGCATTTAGAAATCGTTGAACTGAAACTTTATATCGAAAAATCTGGTATATGTAGCATTTACATATAGATTCTATATTTTTTTAGTCCAAACCCGAATTATAGAAATAATATAATTCTGAATTATTAGATTTGCATTTTATTAAGTAATTTTAATGTTCTGTGGTATATTTCAGAAGTTTTATTGTAATTTGTGTAGTTCTGTGGTATATTCTGAGTGTTCTGTGGTATTCTGTGATGTTCTGTGGTAAAAAAAAAACGCTCCGCAAAGTGACTACATAAGATTCATTATTGACGCTCTTATCAAATCAGTTGAAAGGCTAAGGCAGTATTGTGGTATAATTTATAATTTATAAAATGTATCAAGCTCTCTGAAATCTGAGACTTTTGTTGCTGTCTATCATATTTGTTTTTTGTCTATTTTTTTTTTTTGGGGGGGGGGGGGTCTCAGTGGCCGAGTGGTTTAAGTAGTTCAAATCCTACTGAGGTTGTTGTTTCGAACCCCGCGGCACGTGATAGGTATGCCACGACTCCAGTCTTAATTGACTAGGATTGTCAGTTTTCCTACAGAAGGTCGGCGATTCTCTTTGGACACACCGGCAAGGATTTTTATAGTTACTATACAAATCCTTGACACCGGCTTTCTCCACCAATTAAAAACTGACCACCATAAAATAGCCAATAGTGCTGAAAGTGGCGTTGAACACCAATCAACCTATCAATCTATTGTTTTGAAAATCATTCAGGCCATTGGTTTTCTCGTTTCAATGGTCATGTCAGGGCCCTTCATGTGGGCCTTTTAAAGATGACTATTCGGTATGGGTTTTGCTCATTGTTGAAGGCTATATGGAGACCTATAATGCAAACTTCTAAGTTCTTTGGTGGCTCGTGGATCTGGGAATAGTATAATGACAACACAAGGGACTTGAGTAATGCTGTTTTATGTTCAGTTATCTGTACCAGCTGAATAGATATAAGAAGATTTGGTATGAGTGCAAATGAGACAACTCTCCATCCAAGTCACAATTTATAAAAGTAAACCATTATAGGTCAAAGTATGGTCTTAACACGGAGCCTTGGCTCACACCGCACAGCAAGCTATAAAGGACCCCAAAAATTACTAGTGTAAAACAATTCAAACGGGAAAACCAACGGTCTAATCTATATAAATAAAGAGAAACGAGAAACACTTATGAACCACATCAACAAACGACAACTACTGAACATCAGATTCCTGACTTTGGACAGGTGCAAACAATTGCTGCGGGTTTAAACGTTTTAATGGTACCAAACCTTCACCCTTATCTGAAACAATAGTGTAACATCACAACATAGAAAGACACACTATAAAATATCAATTGAAATGGCTTTACTCAATCAAAAGACATATTAACACAAGTGAACATACATGAACGAATACATTTGATCTATGATAATGTTCACTTTAAAACTCTACGAATAATAATACCAAAAGTCGATGAAATACAGTATTTATTGTATGAAATTCAAAATTAATTTATCAGCATCTGTTTATTACATTTGTCATTTTGTGTTTTATTCTTATTGGTGTATTTTTATTACCTGTTTATTGATTTAAAATCAACAATAATTTGTCAAATACTATTGACTTTTATGCACATATGGTACTTTTAACGGGGACAAACCCGTGCAAAACTGCTATCCAGGTTTCCAACCAACATACATTCATGCAATATGTTTGTACTATTTGTTTGTAAAACCATTAACACATCATAGACACATGACTGAAGTACAATAGTGTTTTACACTTCATACAAACATACCATTCGTGATAGATTTACAATACATGTAATACAATAGAATGTGTTTTATCAATTGCATGTAAAACCGTGTACACCCACGTGAGTGTCAGAAGTACAATAGTGTTTTTAAAAACAATACAAACATACCGTTCGAGTGAAATAGTTTTGATAGATTTACAATAAAATCAATTGTATGTAAAAAATAAAAAACGTGTACTCCAACGTGAGTGTCAGAAGTACAATAGATTTAACTTATGACAATACATATATATGTCGATATACTCCAGGGTGGATAGTTATCTTATTGACAATCACATCTGCATCACATCTTCTTATTTTTATATTATCACATTATGCCACGAACTTGCATTAGCTCTAGGCAAAAGAGAGCAGTTTGGAATTGATATTATCTTGTATGGACATCCTCATTTTTTCCAAAACCTACGATTGTGTCCCACTTAAACGACTGTTAAACAAGCTGCACCATTATGAAGATATAGATCAAACACATGTAAATGGATCCAATCTTTCTTTTTTGATCGTACCCAAAAAGTCATCGTTGAGAGAGAATCATCGGAGAAAGCTCCTGTGGTCAGTGGAGTTCTCCAAGTGACTGCACTCTGATCGTTACTTTGCCCGACATTCATTAACGACTTACCTGACAACCACTACAAAAGTCAAAAAGTCTGAAAAGACCAGTTTTTGTCTGAATTTGCATGAATTTTTACTCGACATTCTTAATTTGTATGAATAATTTTTAAAAATTCTTGACATAGTATGAATTTGTCTTAATATGTTCTTGATTTTTCTTGACAAGTGTCTTGACAGTATGAACATTGTCTTAAAATTTCTCGGCACTTCCTGTATCATCTGATAAGAGTCTGGATTAGTCTCGACCAATTCTTGACTGTCTTAAATTTGTCTCGATCTGTCTTGACATATTCTTGACATTCTTAATAATGTCTGAATATGTCTCGACATATTCTTGACATTCTAAATAATGTCTGAATATGTCTCGACACATTCTTGACAGTCTTAAATATGTCTTGACACTATTTCAACAGTATAAATTTCGCCTGAAATGTGAACAGACTTATTCTGCACTGTTTATGACATTCTATTGCTATTATATACTCCTTTTTATTATGGCTAAACTAAACTTTGAAGAATCAAGGATTAATTTGGTATAGTACATGTAGTAAGATACCCTTTTGGTGCAACTAAGTTGGAATACCCTGAATAATCCCCCATGTGGTTTAATTTTGATTTATTTTTATTAAACATTTTGGAATACCCTGAATAATCCCCCATGTAGTTTAATTTTGATTTATTTTTATTAAACATTTAAGTAAATGTTTTCACTTGGAATATAAGTCGAAGGTATTGACAAACAGCATTTAGATTTTTGCCGTTCGCAAAACTGCCAGTCAAATTTTTACTAAAATAGGTGTCTTGTATCTCTTTTGGACCCCACAATTCATCTTTTGGGTTTGTGTGGCTAAAAAGAGGGAGGGGGTCTTTCGTTTAGGTCAAAGAATTTGTTCCCATCTTGATTCAAAAACCTTATTCATTTTTTAGAACAACCCAAAAACATTTTTTATTCAAATTTGAGTGTTGAATTTTATAATTTTTTATCAAAAATAAATATTTGTGATAACTCCTTCCTGAAAAGAAAAAAATGTTTAGATCTATATTATGCATGTCTGTTTGAGAACCATTTCATAAGACCGATGATTTCTATAGAAATCATTGATGGGACCCATTATAAAAACATTTTTTTTATTATTCCTGGAGTAGATAATAATTTTCTTTTAATCTTTGGGAATTATTCAATTTGTTTTTATGTTAAAATAATTCACTTCATAATTTTGATGAAGAAAATCCATTTCAATTCAATTTTTTTTCATCAAAATGATGATTTTCATTTTCATCTATCAACAAACTTTTTAAATTGTAGTGGCATGGTCGGTCAACTGATAAGTTGTATGGCTGATTACAGGCAAAGCAATAACTTCTATTTGACAGTTGCGCGTACTCTGGGGTGTGGAATACCTTAATTTTATGGGGAACATCCTGTCCATGTGTAATACTTAATATATTCCAACAGATGACATTACACAAATTTTTCTTCTGTTAAATGAATGATTTGTATATCATCATAATTTGCTATTTATATAAACCACATTTTGGTATAATAATTATTTACCATATCAACATTGAATATTATGAATGTAGAATGAAATATGTCTAAAGTATGATTGGTTTGAATCATTTAATTTATAAGATTTAGGAATCAAAATTTGTAATTATTTAAAAACCCACATTGAAATTGTTTTATATCAACACCCACATTTGAATTATTTTATACTTTAGATTTCATAGCCATATTTGCATCTGTAAAAATATTTATATACCCAAATTTTCAATTATTTTACATGCCCAACTTTTATTTTTGTTGTAAAGAAGTGTAACTTGAAACAACAGTATATCATATAAAGAGAAATAAAGATTAAAGTTATATCATGAATATTGATCATGATTTGTAAAACTCAGAACTGTCAAGTAAATTTAAGACACGATTCAAAATGTTCAGAATATGTCAAGCCATACTGAGAAAAAATAAGAATGTCGAGAATATGTCGAGAAATTTCAAGACAGTATTCAAATGTCAAGAATTTGTCAAGAAATTTTAAGACCATATTCAGAATGTCGAGAATATGTCGAGTAAATTTCATACAAATTTAATATAAATGAGAATTTGTCAAGAAAAATTAAGACACAAGTCATACTTTTGGAGAATGTCGAGTAAAAGTTCATGCAAATTAAGACAAAAACTGGTCTTTTCAGACTTTTAGACTTTTGTAGTGAACATATCATCGGACACAAAACTATTTGCCAATGATTAAAAAAAATAAATTAAAATTGATGGCATACTACGATGTATTCTATCAAGTCTCCCGCAGCTCGGTAATTATGACCAATAGATCTAACTCATCGACGTAGACTCAGTCGTGGTGATCATCATCATACCTTTCCATGATGTTTTGATTATGATCTATTCGATAAATATACTATTTACACAGAGATCCCCAAAGTCTTTATTCACAACGTCGTTCGAAACTAAATTTTAATGAACAAAATATATTTGGAAACCTTGTTACAAATCCCAATTCTAAATATTACAAATTTCAGCTTTCATCTTGGATATACTGCCCATCGCTATCTTTTAAGACCTTTTGGTAAATAAGAAGATGATACGAAGAACCTCAATTTTATAACTTTAAAAATTATGTCCACCAAATGTCCCAAAATGTGTTGTCTTTAAAAAAAATAAGCATCTTAATTAGTAACGTGAGTTTCAGAAAACTTTTTGTCAGAATTGATGTGGTTTTTTTACCAATTACAAGTATGATTTGTCCCAGGGCCATCCTTAAATAAGATATTCGACGTCGACTAATTTTTATTTTGACTTATTCTTTCCTTGTATCGTTTAGTTTTAAAATGTGTGTAAACCACCTGTGCTCTTCTTTTATTCGTATCAGTCACAATTCATACAGTTCCGATTTTAGTAGCTATGTTAATCGCAACTATCTTTTGAACTTGAAATTAAGAATTCCACAGATGCAATAAGATGTGCTTCATATCCTGACTTACCTCTAAAAAATCGACCGTGAGATTCGGTAGAGACTATATCGTTCCAACGATATATAGAGAGATGTTCTCAATTTTCCCGTCGGAACTTTCCGTTTTATTGTAACAGCATTCCAACAATAGCTGCATATGGAGAAAATATGTCTTGTATGTCCTACTGATAGACGATTGGTGCTTACAAAAAAGATTATGGACCAATGTCTTATAATAGTAAAGAAGAAGTCATCCCTAAAAAACAAATGAGGATGCCATCATGATTTGGTTAGCCGTATGGAATATGAGTGACAGATGACCATAGATATGCTCCAACTATAGCCGCAAAATCCTTTCCTCGTTTCTGACATAACAGAATGAGAAATGTGTGTTTGTCATGATCATTACGACAAGTGCCACATGTCGAACAGGAATTTCTTTCCATTCTAATCGCGTGAGTTCATCTGCTGTAAGGTAGCTTTTTTGTGAATTTTTTTGTGAACTTATGTCTTTGGCTTCATCACTGAATTAATTTATAACATACCAGTCTTAAATTATCAATTGATAAATTCAGAAATTACATCAATGTTTCAAGAAACTAAGGTTCCTACTCCTTCAGGCTAAATTGACTTTATATGCATTTGACTATGTTTTTTAAGTCCCTTTTGGTCATATATAGCTCCTTAAGCACTCGGGTTTTCCTTGACTTCCAAATTTTGGATTTGGGCGTTCCCGATGAAGGTAAATCGAGAAAAACGCTTCGAATGCAACAATTTTATAAAGTGATATTTTAATTTTCCAGCACTGGGGTCATACCGCTGATGGTGGATTCATATTCCCGTGGGTATGACCAAGCTCATTAGTCAGGGCTTTGGCAACAACGATATTAACACCATATCTTTCTTAAATTCTCCGTTAAAAAAATAAGAAATCATTAAGAAATTAAGGTTCGAACACCCTCAGGTAAAGTTGACCATGCGTAGATTTGGCTTATCTGTTATAAGGTCCATTTTGGTCATAAAACTCCTCAAGTATTCAAGTATTTATACATCTTTGTATTTCAAATTTGTTTTGGTTTGGACATTGATGAAGCTAAATCTTAGAAAAGCGCTCCGACCACGCCAACTTAATAATTAAATACGTTTTATTAACATTTTTTTATTATTATTGCGAAAATTGCGACGGGATAGGAATCGAAACTAGAGGCTCTAAAGAGCCTGTGTCGCTCACCTTGGTCTATGTGCATATTAAACAAAGGACACAGATGGATTCATGACAAAATTGTGTTTTGGTGATGGTGATGTGTTTGTAGATCTTACTTTACTGAACATTCTTGCTCCTTACTACTATCTCTATCTATAATGAACTTGGCCCGGTAATTACAGTGGAAAATACTTTGTAAAAATTTACAAAAATTTACAAAATTTATGAAAATTGTAAAAAATTGACTATAAAGGGCAATAACTCCTTAAGGGGTCAATTGACAATTTTGGTCATGTTGACTTATTTGTAGATCTAACTTTGCTGTACATTATTGCTGTTTACAGTTTATCTCTATCTATAATAATATTCAAGATAATAACCAAAAGCTGCAAAATTTTCTTAAAATTACCAATTCAGGGGCAGCAACCCAACGTGTTGCCTGATTGGTCTGAAAATTTCAGGGCAGATAGATCTTGACCTAATGAACAATTTTATTCTCATCAGATTTGCTCTAAATGCTTTGGTTTCAGAGATATGAGCCAAAAACTGCATTTTACCCTATGTACTATTTTTTAGCCATGTCAGCCATCTTGGTTCGCGAGCAGGGTCATCGGACACATTTTTTAAACTAAATACCCTAATGATGATTGTGGACAAGTTTGGTTAAATTTGTCTTAGTAGTTTCAGAGGAGAAGATTTTTGTAAAAGATTACAAAAATTTACGAAAAATGGTTAAAAATTGACTATAAAGGGCAATAACTCCTTAAGGGGTCAACTGACCATTTTGGTCATGTTGACTTATTTGTAGATCTTACTTTGCTGAACATTATTGCTGTTTACAGTTTATCTCTATCTATAATAATATTCAAGATAATAACCAAAAACGGCAAAATTTCCTTAAAATTACCAATTCAGGGGCAGCAACCCAACAACGGGTTGCCTGATTGGTCTGAAAATTTCAGGGCAGATAGATCTTGACCTAATGAACAATTTTATCCAAATCAGATTTGCTCTAAATGCTTTGGTTTCAGAGATATGAGCCAAAAACTGCATTTTACCCTATGTACTATTTTTTAGCCATGTCGGCCATCTTGGTTTGCGGGCGGGGTCATCGGACACATTTTTTAAACAAGATACTCTAATGATGATTGTGGACAAGTTTGGTTAAATTTGTCTTAGTAGTTTCAGAGGAGAAGATTTTTGTAAAAGATTACAAAAATTTACGAAAAATGGTTAAAAATTGACTATAAAGGGCAATAACTCCTTAAGGGGTCAACTGACCATTTTGATCATGTTGACTTATTTGTAGATCTTACTTTGCTGAACATTATTGCTGTTTACAGTTTATCTCTATCTATAATAATATTCAAGATAATAACCAAAAACGGCAAAATTTCCTTAAAATTACCAATTCAGGGGCAGCAACCCAACAACGGGTTGTCCGATTCATCTGAAAATTTCAGGGCAGATAGATCTTGACCTGATAAATAATTTTACCCCATGTCAGATTTGCTCTAAATGCTTTGGTTTCAGAGATATATGCCAAAATCTACATTTTACCCTATGTTCTATTTTTAGCCATGGCGGCCATCTTGGTTGGTTGGCCGGGTCACCGGACACATTTTTTAAACTAGATACCCCAATGATGATTGTGGCCAAGTTTGGTCAAATTTGGCCCAGTAGTTTCAGAGGAGAAGATTTTTGTAAAAGTTTACGGACGACGGACGACGGACGACGGACGCAGGACGACGGACGACGGACGCAAAGTGACGAGAAAAGCTCACTTGACCTTTCAGGTCAGGTGAGCTAAAAATAAGAATTAGCATTTTGAATTCTGATAGCATTATTGATGAAGCGCATTTTATAAAATCGCAACAACTAATTTCGCATTCTTGTACAAAGATCGTTATCGCAATAATAAATCTACGCAAAAATTTAAGAAATCAAATATTAAAAAAAATAATGTATTTCTGCCGTTTTATTATATCAAAAACTAAGAGTTATTCGTGTAACATGTATTTAGTAAGACTTTACTCAACTACTGGGTACAACAAATCTTTAAACAAAAGTATGTGTTTAATCTTTATTTCAGCTATATAAATTAATACATATGGTAACGTCAATTCCAGCTACAGGCAACTATCTACCATATGGTAACAATGGCAACATTTTTACTATATACTAGTATAGCAGTTACGGGTTTTTAGCCAATCCAAAAAGAACACAATACAGGTATACGAAACAATGCATTTGCCTCTACATGGGAATAAACTCTGACCACATCAGGAATGTGTCGTTTTGTGTCTTGGGGTCCCTGATTTTTGACTGCTTGCAGAAGTGCCTCTTTTTCTGTGTGAAACCTAAATATATCAGACAAAATAACGTATGATTTGGAACACTCGTTATTGAAATGAAATAGAAACCAAAAGCATGAAGATTAACTTAACTGAAAACAAAATTCTCAATCGATGGAGTTTGATTAACAACTCTTTACAAGTATATGAAACCGATATAAAAATAACGATCAAAGAATAAATATGAAATATATCTAATATCAGAAGTTTCTTAATTTCAAGCGGTCTTTGTCAAATTCTATAACGAAGGAAATTCTTGTTTTTACTTTTAAGCCTCATTTTCTTGTCACAAGAAAGCAGATAAAACTGCTTAAAATTCCTAGGTTAAAACGATTAGTGCAAAAATAGATTAGTAAATATTTCTTACATCAGGACATGATTTTCTTCTTGGTTTTCCGTTTGTGATATGTTTAGAAGTTGAAGTGCCCGGTCTTTCCTCTCCTTTACTCCTTTCTCTCCATTGTGTCATTCTGTATTCTAAATCAGTCAGCACTTTTTTACTCGTCTCCAATTCGGGCAATGTTGTATCAAAGAAAAGAAAATTAATATCAAGTATTTTCATTAAATTGATAATGCTGTCATTTTCTTTTTCCATTTTTTTGAAAATTCTGTAAGCTTCGTAAAAATCATGCTCCGTGAATTCATTCTTTTTTCTATGTCTAGTTTTCAGTAATTTTATAGATTCTGTGTCCAACATCTTTATTGTCAAATATTTCAGGAAGGTAGCGTCTATAACAGACAGGTTTGAACGATGTATATACATAAAGTATCTCTGACAAAGCATCTCCTTCAGGATGTCAACTGATCTAGCAGACGATTTCCGGTTGAAAAGTCTGTTGTAATTGTTGGTGCTCAGAACCAATACATCAGATTCTCTTGTAACAGTTGTTGTTTCTAGGTAAGTCTTGAGTCCAACAATAACTTCAACAGCACCTGTTAAATGTAAATAGTACGGATATTTTCAAAATCTTCTGTTTACAACCATAACTTGTGACAAGAATTTGATTAGACATGCACCGACAATAGTAGAAAGTCATGATCTGTTATAAAACTCAAACCAGCATTTATTTTGTATTATATACAGTAAGTTTTGCCAGGATCATATGCTAATTTTCTTACATTAATTTTATGAATGACTAAATTTTGAGGAATAATATGATTACAAAACCACAAGTACACTGGTGGAAAGACTGGAAGAATTGTGCGTAAATTTCAATCAATTTTGAGTTTTTCATTGAGGTATGGCAATAAACAAAAATACTTGATACCGGGTATATCATCATTGCATTTATAGTTGCATTCCTGCAATTCTTTAGAAAGATTAGCAATCCACCAGTAGCTAGAATGAGCTAAATGTGTGTCAACGTCAATTTGTCACTAAATTCGTAAAATAATTTCTGTTAAATTGCAATTTAATATTTTTATTAAATCATCAACAACAAAGTAATAAAATGAAGGTTCCATTTTTTCTTTGGAAAAAAATCCAATTCACTGTTTTCAAATACACAAATACTATATACTGTTAAAAAGCAATGTAAGAAATACATTTAAATACATGTTATTGTAGTTTTCTTATTTATTTATTTATGATGCAATTTTCTTTATTTTTTCTCAAGCAATTCGCTGATAACTGTAACCTATATAAATATGGAGTAATAACATGATTATAAATTAAGAACTGTAAATAGATCAGCATTACTACCTTTATTTAGCATCTCCAGTCTTAACAGATCATTTCAAAATATAAAAAAAACAAGGAAAGTTTTTTATTTCTATTAAAAGTACTGTACGAACAGCCACACAATGAAACTTACCGACCACTTCATTGGCTCCTAGAAGACACATCTGATAAGGCCGGTGAGATGTCCGTCGTCTTTGTAGGGTTTCGTAAGGTGTGTAGTTAATACCATTATCTCTGAAAGTAGTACAAATATAGTAATTACAATAAACAGTCCTTATCAAGGGAACATCTTCTACATAAAAAATCAAATTAAGGCAACAAAATAACATTATGGAATCATAAAGATTTACAAATATCGGTTACTCAATGATGTAAATGTATTTTTGAAAATTATTACATGATGCATTACACATTAGAATACTTTCAAGAACAAAGTTCCAATAATTAATTCATTGTAACATAGAAAAAAACTATTTATTTATATAGCTCAGGGTACCTTTTTTTTAAATGAACGCGAAGACTTGTAGTTTCAACTCAATAATATCTTAATAAATCAAGGCAGGGTATTTACATATAAAACATATATACTGCACCTGAAATAATGGAAATAGAACAGGGGAGAGATTTTGTCTCTTTTTTTCGGATCTATGATTATTTTAATAACGTTTCAGCACAGTGAGGTTTTTGTGGATTTTTTACTCTTGGTGTGTTAATTAATTAAAGCGAAGTACTACTTGTCCTTGAATACTTTTTTTTTAAAACTTAGTAGGAAATGCAGTTGTTCCAAGTAGAATTGCACTGATGAGTCCACTTCACATTTTTGCAACACAACATAGTTAACCTTTCCACCATTCATCATGTTTAAACATTAACATTTCCTCCTTAAATTTCGTATTGGCACTAGAATCGGCAAAGTCCTGCGTCAGCGGACGGTATCGCCCCAATGGCAGTAAAACATGATATGATGCCCATGCGCACAACGAGTGTTTCTTAAAGTGCCTTTATAAGGTTTGCTCGAGATCAAACTATTTGAATGACAAAATATAAAACTTTTGATAACATACAACAACAACAGTGTTATAAGAAAATATAACCCCGTCTAAGGTCAACACTGCCCTGGGAAGTTGCTACTTGTTTAGAAAAACAAGTTCTTGTAACAGTTATAACAAAATGCAACTTAGTTGCTGTATAATTTGTTTTACTTCCGATTATCGTTTTCCTGTGCTTAACATACATACATGTATACATCAACTGTCAAGATGAAGTACAGGAATAAAAGCCCTGTTCATTGATAATTTTCTATGTTTTCTATGTATTGTGTGCGATTTTGTCCTATGTACATTTACTCCATATCCTTTCATTTTCTATGCAAAACTGAATATGAATAAACACAACGGGTGTTTGCACATTCAGTAAATGATGTTTATGGAGAGTATTTCTTTCAGTTTAGGAACCTTAAAAATCTATTATTTATATGGTTAAAACGATCTAGCCATTGTCTTAATTCAACGTCAGTGGAAAGCATTCTGCATATTGAAGATGAAAACAAATAAACAATATATATATATATTAAAGAATTGCCTCTGAAAAGTGGGACAACAGGAATGAAGATCAGAAAATTTGAAGTGACACTGCAAAGACGGGTATTTTTTTAGGACCGAAATAATTTTGTCTGTTTATACCCACCCTATGTAACAGGACTAAAATTTAACGTCCATACTCGTACAGGAAGTTGAAGCGATGTTTTACATCCTGTACAAACAAAGAGATGCCATTACATCATTGGATTCATTACTTTTAATGTTCTCGAGTTGATGTTGAAAGAATTGATCATACTGTCTATTGGTGCATGGTTAATTAATTTGATTGAAATAATAATGTTCATTTTATATTTAGTGAAGTTTATTTCACTACTTAATAATAGGAATTATTTTGTAAGAAAATGAGTTTTCTTATAAAGTGCAAGTACTTTCAGGTATGTAAATTTGGTAAATGTAAGCCTTTCTCCAAAACATGTTTACATAATGTCTGAGTCAGTGACAGCAAAAAAAAAAGGTTTTTGATATGTTGAAATTACTGACGAGGTTAAATAAACCTTAGAGTAGTATTGAAAGTCATCGATATAATACAATGTAGCTAGTTATCTAAATTACCAAATTGCAAATCAAACTTCCACTGCTTGAAAACAAGATAAGTGTTTCCATTTAACACTTTGGCATTTCAAATTTTGCACCAAACTAACAATTATATAATCAAGCTGTATCCGAGCTATTTCTGTATCAAGCTTTAATATTTCTGATATCCGTTACTAGGAGAGTGTAAAAACATGTTGATGAAAGGAAAAAAGTCCTATTATTCGACTACTAATGTGAAAAATTAGACAAAACGAACACTTTTCTGATTGTTAAGAATAACAAACTTTATGTTAACTGTATAAACTTAAAAGCCATTTCCACTGCAAACACATCTTACAGATTCCATCCAAAGGAAAAGAGAATTCGTGTATTCTTCCTGAGATGAGATGGTTATTTACCACTTCCTTACATCATATTTAAACATTTCTACTTTCATATAGTACTTTGACGAATGAAAAGAAATGTTCATAATACCAAATAATGCTGTGAGTACATACATGAATCTGTAATACTCTGAATTTTATTAAGATTTGAAATACTTTGAAAATACTTTGGAAGCATTAGGGTGTTTTTTAATATGAACTCCATTTCATCTTAAAAATGTTTTGATTTACATACCCTTTTTTAAAACGTTTTTAATTATTAATATTCACCTTTGGGCTACATTTCATATACAAATGGAAGGAGAAAAGCGCATCAAAAAAGTTTTTCAATTAACCATAACTTTCATATATAAGATTAATCTAAAAAATCTGATACTTTGATTTAAATAAAAGAATTTATTTCATTTCATATCCTGTTTCGATACAAAATACTCGTTTGATCATTTTTTAGATTATATCTTAATAATTAAAAGTGTTGAGAAATGTCATAAAAAATGCATCGTTTACGACATATTAACACTGTTACAATCTTTTATTCCAGAACCGACAATTGTCATTATTAACCGACGATTAAGAATTAATTACAATTTCTTCTTACATCAGAAAAAGGAAGACTAACAACACGAACAATCCTTCATTATTGGAGCCATAACATCAATGTTATCACAGGTTACTAACATACTCTTTTTAAAATGAATTTCAATTTCGAAAATTTACATCTTTCATGGATCAATCCAGACTTCCTTTGGAAACTGTGGCAATTAATATATTTGCGATCGATGAGTAAAAAATAAAGTTCAAATGAGGATTTCATTTTCCTATGGGAAGACAAATTACTATTGCAAAATGATTACAAGTCTGCTATCACTTGAAACATGAAACTTTCCATCTCCTTTTTTAATTGCATGAATAATTAAAAAGTTCCCGGTAGAGTTTAGTAAAATCCCTTATAAGAAGAGGTAATCAAGTGTACAATAAAAACCAAACTAATGTGCATATAAAAGTTATGAACTGAAGTTTACACAAAAAAGGAGATTTGGGTTATAAGTCTGAAACTTTTCACTAAAAGCATTTTTTACTAAAATGCACAGTATCACAGATTTATGTAAAACAAGAGGATGTGGTATGATTGCCAATCATGATTCAATTATCAACCGAAAGACCAAAATGACGTAGAAGTTAACAACTATATGTATACTTTAAAGTTTTTATTACTTATTTCGTAAAATAATACGTATGCCCAAATTAAAAGTGCCAGCAAATAGCTCTAACTGCAATTTTGATAGATTTTTTAAAAAAATTCAGTATTTGTTCAAAACGTCTATAATAACACCTTTTTTACTAAATCCAAAACTCTACTGAAAGTACAGATCTATATATTGTCTTTCAAATGAAAATTAATTCATTTTGGTAAAAGACGTCTTTCGATATGTCAAAATTGTGTTCAGCAGCGACATCTTGCGCTGAATAGTATTTTGATATTTTTTTAAGGAAATTTGTGTTGACTCTTTAATATTTAAATTCCCGAAGGTTTAAAATTTGATCTCTTTTTAGATATTGACCATGTTTTTTTGGATAAAAAGCCGAAACATCCAAAAAGTTGCAATAGAAACATTTCCGGCACACACTTGGTCTCATTAAGCTCGGACTATACTGTTCCCACCATTAATCAGTAGTTGTTTGATCATCTTTTATTTGTAACGCTATGTCATAATTGCATACAAACAGATAAAGCACTTCTCAAACTATTTTCCATACCTTGGTAAAAGATCTGGTAATATTCGTTGGAGTTCTCCCCAGATTTCCGGATATTGTGTCTTATGTGAAGCTTGGTCTGCAATCACCTCTGCTTCACCTCTGAAAGTGAATAGAAATAAAGCTTGAATATTAATACATTTACCGGTTTTTAAGTTAATTAAAGAGTTTCTGATGTCCTTATATACTATTTGAGACCATTTCGTCACCATGTACCCCTTCAACCCGTAGTATACCTCGGAGTTTAGAAATTAGTCCCACTACTAGTATCTCTTCTGACGGGTACGATAACAATCAAATGGACGTCCGCTCGCTGTGTGGGATGTATAAATACGCAGCCACGTCCTGAAGGAATAGGGAAAATGTCACGTTCTTTGCACATTAAAGGACACTTTCAACAACTCTCCGAGGGGCTTGTAAACAGACAACCTGTTACAAGGCAAAATTTCTGTGCCTATTCCGTGTGCAATCATCTTCCAGTAGCAGTCCCTGCCACCGGATCGACCTACTTTACAGCGCCTATCTATCTAATATTATTGTTAATTTGTTCTTGTCATGAATAGCCATGAAATATTTACTACTGGACGTTAGACAAACACCACCCAATTCACCAATCAATCACAATTTCTCATAAAATGAAACAGATTTAATGAAATAAAGCACTTGCGTCTTACTATTATTTTTGTAACGATATTGATTTGATAGATATGTTGCAAATTGATTAAGAAAGGTAATGTTACCTTTGTAAACTCTTTGTTGGCCTTCTCAGTTGCGAAATCGCGAATATTAGGGTCGTATGTTACAGTTATGTACTAATTTATATGTAAGGACACATGTCATATATCAAAGAGTTTTGCTAGCACTTACAAGGAATTTGGACATATTGTGTATTTGTAAATTGACCAGCTTTTATACGAGTTAAAAAAAGATGTATACTAGTCAACAAAAGTAACGACACACAAGTTTGAACTCAAATTTATCATAAAATATGATAAATAGGAAAAACTGTTAAATCATTCAACGAAAAACATTCATTTTGCAAAGCAAATATATATGATTAAAAGAATCTGACAAAATTGGAAAGTGAGAAATTACCGTGTTATTGAACACAGGGGTCCGGCAAATTTATTTTGCGCAAAATGATGACAAAAGTCGTCACTTAATTTCAAAGATGAGAGTTAAGTATTCAAATATCTGCAAAGGCATTCAAAAGTTTAAGCAGACCATACTTTAGTTTAAAGTTTTAAGTTCTACTATCGATTTTTGAATTTTTGGGTGAAAATACGATTTTTGAAATTACAAAAATTGCCAAAAAAATAATTCGCGTATTTGCCTTAAATCAATGGTTTTGATAAGAAAATAACACTAGATGTAAATATTAGACCAATTGGGCAATTATTTACCTTGGTACAGTGTATCCAATTTCATTATATATGGAAAATATATTGCCTTGTATCGTTTCTTTTGTTGACTAGTATATATGAAAATAAGATTTTCTAAATTTCGTGCGTCCGAAGCCCTTTTCTGGATTTTCCATGATCAGGAATGCCCAAGCCCAAACAATTGAAAGCCAGGGACGTATAAATACTGGAAACGCTAATAGCAATGTAACCAAAAGGAGCATACAAAGAATAGCCAATTTCATTTGAGGTCAACGTTGCCTGAGGGAGTTGAAACCTTGGTGTTAAAGAATTTCTTATTTCTCAACGGAGAATTTTAGCAAAGAATGCTATAAATCATGTCAATACCGAATATATTATATTTTTTCAGACAGAAAAGACATTCAACTCGTTAAAATAATTTTACTACATTTGTTATAATATTAATCATATCGAACCTGAGCATAAAAAATATGTTTTCGACTGGCTGACCCTGTCGTACAATCGGACTTCCATAATGCATTGTTTCCTTTTGTAAAGCAATAGTCATAGATTTCTTCATTTTTGGCAGCCATTGTTTGAATAAAGGATTATTCTCTACAAATTCAGTCTTTTCATGAAATTCCCTCTCAAGGACATCTCTCACAGATCTATTGTACAATGCTCTGTCAACCACCATTAAATCCGTCTCTTCATCTGTCACAACACTAGCAGTTCTCACACAATCCTCCTTAATCAGAGCAACTTCTCCAAATGCCTGACCCTCATCTACAAGTTATCGAGACGGATATCTTTAGAATAGTAGCTTAATTGAAGATAGTGAAATATGAAAATATCGTTTAAACTTAATTCAGCTTTTACATATAAGTATCAAGTGTTCTAAACAGTTGGCTTAATTAGTTATTGGTGGCTGGTGCATATTAGTTGTAAACCTGTACAAAGTTTACTACCTGTTTTTCTTTTTTTCCAAACAACTAGTAAAGAAGCATTTTTCATATTCATGACATTCTTGACTTAGCCTGGATTTACATAGCAGAAGACAATTACCCGGTCGATGCACCTGTTTCATTGGGAACTCATGCCATTCCCTCGGGTTTTTAATTTTTATATCTTGGTTGGTATATTCCACATGGATTTACGAGTTTTGAACATCGGAACACTACTTTTGTCTTTCAGCTAGAAAACCAGAAGCACCAGGGCATTTCCCCAGCAATAAGGGAATAATTGTAAAACGGTTGAATTATTTTAAGTTGGTTCAGACAGATACATAAGTATACTGAAATTATTGTTTGTTTCAATTATATCCATAATATTTAAAAAGCCCCTTTACAATTCCCTCAAAACGACCCAAGCTCAACTCGTCCAATCTACGGAAATGGAAAACGTTAATTGTGATATTTTGTATAGAACCTAACCTGATATAATCTGCAATTTCATATTTCTCCCCACTACTTAGATCCAAATATTGGGAAGAATAGATCCTTTTTGGAATCTTGTTTAATAATAATAAAATATTCCTTTACCCTTCCGGTTGATCAGCATTTCCTAATTAATGATATTGCTGAAAGATAGGACAATCGTTTAACCGCTTAAGAATAACAATTTAAGGGCAAGGTCGATGGATTATCAAACAATGACCAACAATACGAACTCACCATTATTTTAGGTGATTCATCCAATGACCAAATGTCACATGATTTGGTACCAATAACAAGAGGCTCTCAAGAGCCTGAATCGCTCACCTGTATTTCAGAGGAAAAGATTTTTAAATGTAAGCAAACTTGATGAACAAATTGTGTAAAATTGTCCTTTAAGGGCAATAAATCCTAAAGGGGTCAATTGACAATTTTGGTCATTTAACTTTTTTGTAGATCTTACTTTGCTTAACATTATTGCTGCTTACAGTTTATATATATCTATAATAATATTCAAAATAATAACAAAAAACTGCAAAATTTTGTTAAAACTACCAATTCGGTGGCAGCAACCCAAAAATGGGTTGTTCGATTCGTCTGATAATTTCAGGGCCGATAGATCTTGACCAATTAAACAATTTTACCCCATGTCACATTTGCTCTAAAAGATTTAGTTTTTGAGATATAAGCCAAAAACTGCATTTGACCCCTATGTTCTATTTTTAGCCATGGCGGCCATGTTTGTCGATAGATACAAACTTCGGATACAATTTATAAACAAGATACCCTAAGGAACATTTAGATAAAGTTTGAAGGTAATTGGCCCAGTAGTTTCAGAGGAGAAGATTTTTAAATGTTAGCAAACTTGATGAACAAATTGTGTAAAATTGTCTTTAAAGGGCAATAACTCCTTAAGGGGTCAATTGACAAGTATGGTCATATAAACTTTTTTGTAGATCTTACTTTGCTGAACATTATTGCTGCTTACAGTTTATATATATCTATAATATTCAAAATAATAACAAAAAACTGCAAAATTTTGTTAAAACTACCAATTCGGTGGCAGCAACCCAACAATGGGTTGTTCCATTCGTCTGAAAATTTCAGAGCTGATAGATCTTGACCAACTGAACAATTTTACCCCATGTCAGATTTGCTCTAAAAGCTTTAGTTTTTGAGATATAAGCCAAAAACTGCATTTGACCCCTATGTTCTATTTTTAGCCATGGCGGCCATGTTTGTCGATGGATCAAAACTTCGGATACAATTTATAAACTAGATACCCTAAGGAACACTTAGTTAAAGTTTGAAGGTATTTGGCCCAGTAGTTTCAGAGGAGAAGATTTTTGAAATAGTTTACGACGACAGACGACGACGACGACGACGACGACGGACGCCAAGTGATGGCATAAGCTCACATGGGGCCCTTCGGGCCCCGGTGAGCTAAAAACGGAAGAAACTCCCGCTCTGACATTTGAAATGTGCACGACTTGAGATTATGTTCAAATTTTAAAGTTATAAGAAAGATCAAAAGTTTCATGACTCGGTATATGTATCTATATGGCATGCGCAAACAAATTAATTCCAGTGGGCTATATAAAAAGATAAAAGATTTTTGATTGTTTAACCTTGAACTTTGATTAAGTATCCTAAAGTTGCGAAATTGAACAAAGTGAAAGATTCAATTAATCATAAAAAATGTGGTTCTACAAACCTGCAACTTGTCAAATGGTTAAGCCGGTACTTAAAACTCGACTTGCATAAACAAACCAATTATTTTTTTTTATTTAGAACTGAATGAATTATACATTTTTATAAGGCATCATATGATTCTGGTAGAAAATAAGGCAGACATTTACATGTCACAATGTTTCATTGAAAACTAACTTGAGGTCCATACATGTTGTCCGAGCTGTGTTCTATCAAGTAACTTATCAATTTTTGCTTTTGCGAGAACTTTTTCCACATGCTGACGTATTTCTTGATCATTTTCTTTGTCTTGAACAACATAGATTGATACCCTGCCTTTTAAAATAACATATAACCTGTAAAAAAACATATGGATATAATTAGTTATTTTAATTGGATACATTGTATATCCTGTCATTTGAACTTTAAAGATTTGTTCTTATGTACGACATTTAAAAATTCAAAATAAATGTTTCACTTCTGTTTCTATACTTATGTCTGATCGCCTGTAACAAATCGCTTCTTTATTAATAATTTTTAACGCAAAACATGTTTTAGTCCATTTGTTTTTTTCTGCATCGAAAAATTTAGAACTAGTAAACTATAACAAGCGATGATCTGATTAACTGTTATAAAGATATAGTTGGTGGTACTGCAGTCTTGTAGTAGAGCCCAGCAGATTGTTCACTATAATATCGTGCACTTCAGAGGGCACACATCTCTAGTTTAGATAACTTCCGTACAGATAATCTTTTCATAAAATAAAAATGACGCAAAACAATAATTCACCTGTCACCACTGTCACCCTGCCTGATAATTACATTGTCTTCATTTGTTCGCATGAAGATACAGTGACGAATAACATCCTTCACGATATCTAAAATATAATAAAATGTATATTCACAGACATTTTATACAAATATTGCGGGTTATTTTCACTGAAAAAAATAAAATTAAATAGAATTTATCACTTTCCTGGTAATTTATACCATAGAAAAAAAAAACTTTTACACCACAGATTGTTTAGCAATACAATGAAATGGCAAAAAGTGGGAATTGGATGTCAAAGTGGTCTTTCGATCACAGGAAAGTCTGGCATGTTCTATAGGTATGATATTTGTAGAAACTATGAATCGAAGCTACATGAGAAACCCTTGACGGTCTCAGGCGATGGCAAATTCTTGATTTGGGGCATGTGATGTATATAATAAATATGCAGGACAACCAATTTTACTCATGTATTATATAATTTATGTTTATAAATCTTTAGTTGATTATTACATATAATCAGGCCATACAAGAAATTTGTATGTCTCTGTTGGAATTTCCTGGTAAAAGGGGTTATTGTTATTTGTGATATAAGCCTCCATTTTTTTCCGTTTCTGTCACTCATTTGGCCTAATTAAAATGTTGATGTTATATTCATTCTGTACAAGGGAACTTTCAAGGTAGGAAAACTTAACAGATAGAACTTTATTAGATAAATATATTTCATTTAAACAAACGGTATGTGTACATATACTATACCAACGCCAGTTTCACTTAATAGCACATGCGTGTCTGATCAGAAGGAAAGGAAATAGTTTGAATTTTGCCATCAATTTACATTTTAAAATCATAAATGTAGTGACATTTTTCTGTGAATCACGTACCCATAGATGCAATTCTGCCAACCGTAGTTTTAACGCATCATAAGATCTAAAACTTCCCAATTTTTATATGAAGCAAAAATAAACTCTGCTTTTTGCATGCCCATCAATCATATAACAATAAAAATCATTTTGTCAAACACCAAATAAAGGTGAATATGAGTTCATAATGTTCCATAATGAAGATTGACTGTATCAATCCAAAACGAACACATTAAAAACTCATTACCAAATATTCTATTAATAATCTTAAATAACAAAATATTCTAGACATGTTTTTGTCATGTTAAATATTGCTTTATATTATATCGTTTTAAGTTTATGAAAGGATGTTGAGGTAGATTATTACGACAATAAGATGAAAAATATTTATAAAACTATAACAAGATGGCTATTGAAACGCTGTTTTTTTCTTGCTCTAGTGGCTATGAAAGGTCATATAGAAACTGTTCCTTCTGATTTTTTGATAAATTGACAATTCGCGCGTCTGGCGTAAAACATTATATTTTGTGATGAATAACAATGAAAACTACACGGAAAGGTTTGCAAGTACTTATACATCCATTTGGCTTTCAGATGTTTTCTTTTGAGTTTGAGAGTTCCCGAAAAAAGTTAATCTAGAAAAGCGCTTCTATTCGGACGCGCCAAAGTGACAAAGTTTTATTTCTTTTTCATTTGCTGGAACGCTTGAAAAGCTGTGTTTCAAATGGGGGAAACTTGTATAAAACACTACATACAGTCAGAAATAAGAAAATATAAGAATAAGAAGATGTGGTATGATTGCCAATGAGACATCAATACACCAAAGTCAAAATGACGTGGATTTAAACTATAGGTCACCGTAAGGATTTCAACCATGAGCAAAACCCATACCGTATAGTCAGTTATAGAAGGTCCTGTTATGAAAAAATGTGAAATATTCAACCAGAAAAACATTTTTACATTTGTACTATCAATTGATATGTTAATTCTAATTTTTACCACTGAATTTAATTTGGACTTTGAAGTTTAAAATTCCAGGAATTAAGAATATTTTATTCCTTAATTTCATATTTTAAAAAATAAGAAGATATTGTATGATTGCCAATGAGACAACTCTCCACAAGAGACCAAATGACACAGAAATTAACAACTCTAGGTCACCGTACGGCCTTTAACAATGAGCAAAGCCATTACCGCATTTGTCAACTTAATGAAAGCCTTTTACGCTTGTTTTACTTTTCCACATATTATTATATATACAGTTCACCATTTCCATTCATATATTCCTACAGTATGAATCAACATAATTGTATATCTCTTTCCAAAAAAATAATTGTCAGCGTAGTTCTGGCGTAGGTCAACGTCATTTATAACATTTTCTCTCTGCGAGAACTTTTCTTACTTTGATGTAATATAAAAAGGAAAGCAAAGTACGAAAGAACGACCTTTTACAATAATCGCGTCAATGAAAAAAAAAATATTTCAGTTACTGATTAATGTTCTTCAAAAAGAGCTATTGTTGAACGAAATAAATGAAATACATTTATACATTTATACATATTTATCAATTCATATTCAGCAAAAGTATTTTTACTCAAGATGCTAACCAAGCATCATCGATATACGCTCAGTATCTTTTTGGAGTTTGAAAATATGTAAAAAAATAATCTATCAGATTTGATAATTATTACTGATACTATTTCACAAGACAAAATGTATTACTAAAATTAAAGTACTTAGCACATGACCACGTTTAAAGCAATATTTTCACCAGATTTGCTCGTTACATGACTATTTTATATGTATTTTATTATGCTTCCCGATATTATTACATAATATTTCAACAAATTCATATACAATATTTGAATATCAGCCAGCCATTAGACTAATGCTACTAAACCTAGGACTAATATGTGTTATAGTCCCAGATTAAACACAATCACAATAATTACATTTGGAAATTACCATTAGTGGCCTCATTCTTGTGGTAACCTACATAAAAGAGACCAACAAACTTATTGTTTAGGTGTTTGTTGGTCATTTGTAATTGTGTCGTTGGGTTGCTGTCTAAATGACCCACACCCAACGTCTCCTTTTATTAGCATTGATGCTTGATATTGTGACTTAAGCTTTCCTTTCAATTGCCATTCGTTTTAAATATTAATTTGACCACGCAATTTCATATTGTCATTTAAAGTTCGCTTCTTAAGTAAATCAAATACATCTGAATATTAATGGTACGGTATTGAATCGCACCGCACTGCATGTATCCAAGTTTAAATTGATCTGCTTGTAAATTAACAATTGGTAAACTTCATTTATAATTAATCAACGTTTGAAAAAGTTATGTATTTATGAAATATACTAACTATTTAGTAATGTGCTTACTTGAATAAACCAACAGGATTTTGGAAATTAAAAATGTACCGACAATGCTAAAATACAACCACTATTTTGTTTGTAAATAGCTACACTGCACTTACCTGATTTTAAGGTTTTAAACAAACTGGATTTATTCCTAAACCATGCAATAAGTTCTTGGCACTCAAAATCGGTTCTTAAACTCTCTGGTTTCTCAATAACAGAAACAACCTTTTCATAAAACGATGGCATTCTATTGTTTATCTGTTTTATACTTTAAAGTCATGAATAGGAAAATGTATTATTTATTCACCAGGCTTTATACTTAATACCTGTTACATTCCACGAATAACAAAAGTAAAATCTAAATCTATTTCTCATGCTCTTATGAAGTATAAGAAATAATCAATTCCTCTCCATTCTGGTTCCAAATTATAGAAGCGGATTAGACCCCGTTGCCATGTGACTGTTTTTCTTTCCCTATAAAACAACATGGGTCATCAACAATTGTGATCTCTCTCGATAACACAAACATAAGTGAATTAATTGTTCTGCAGTACCTTTACATCTCTATATAATGGAAAATAATAAACTCGACCATAAATTTTGTCATAAAGGAAGCTTGTATCCTAGATAACAACAATGCTACTTTTAACTTCAAACCTTTGTAGAAAAGGTAGTAAATGATACGGCTCTCGAGTCGTTGCTTATTACATCGATTTAATCATTACAATCCGACTTAAATTCCCACTAATATCATTTCACTGCTTCGGCAACAAACCAATTGGGACTGTTTAAGGCACTTAACTATTGCAGTACTGCAACTGTAAACAATTTTTTTAAAGGTTTAATGCGTCTTATCAATGCATATCAAATATTTACTGTATATACAAACTAGTCATTATTGACATTCAAAATCTGAATTTTTAATGTCATTTTCAGTTGAAAGTTATCAAATCTATTGAAAAGAAAACACACTAAGAAATTTGATTTCGAATTAATATTTGAAGTGAAAGATTTACAAAAAGTTGAAATATATTTTCCAGCTAGAGGAGATCATACTTTTTGACGTGTTTTCACTTTTAAAATGTTTATAAAAACGCACCGACTTTATCACCGGATTAAATTTTCCCTATACAATTTCATCTTTATTTATATCTATTGATGGTCCTTTAAAAGCATTCACCGATCCAAACAGATGCGTGAATACAATATTCAATGAGGCTTGATACGAGAATGTTTCAATATCAAAGCCAACGATGTGTATATTGAAGAAGCCAAAGTCACGTTGTTACAGCATATTATCTATCTTAATTAAATTGTTTATTTACATGACGACCAAACTTGATTTAAAGTCATTTTTTGTTATGCAAAACAACAGTTTGTCATATTATCATTACTGATGATTACTTAAAAAATCACGGGGGAGGGGGAAATACTGAATCGTGATTCATTTCAATACAATATTGAGAGCAAAATGGGTTTTAATCCTTTAGTTTTACTAGAGGTCCTCAAGAGCTTTGTCGCTCACCTTGGTCTATAGGCATATTCAACAAAGGACACTCTCCAACATTGTAGACGAGAATAGAATTAATGACAAAAATTTTTGTATCTTCTATTGCTGATCATTGAAGTCTGTTTAGTTTCTCTCTATCTTCATGATCTTATTTAGTTTTTGCTCCAAACACAAAAGAGGGTAAAAAAAACTCTTATAAAGAGTAACAGTCTGCAAATTATATCAGCAAAATTTGACTTGTTAGTAGGTCTTGTCTTGCTTATCATTTTTGATTATTTAAGTTTCTATCTATCTATTATAATTTTTATCATATATGAGGCAAACCGCCAAAAAAAAATGGAAAAAATCGTAATTAAAGGGCAATAACTCCAATAAGGAGTCGTCGGACAATTTCTGCCATTGTCTTAATTGTAGATCTTGTCTTGCTGATCATTTTTGTATATTTAAGTTTCTTTCTATCTATTATAAGTTTTAAGATATAAGAAAAAAACGCAAAAAAATTGTAGAAATCGGCATCAAAGGGCAATAACTCTAATAAGGAGTCAACTGATGATTTCAACCATAAAACTTATTTGTAGAACTTGTCCTTCTGATCATTTTTAAAATTTAAAGTTTCTCTCTATCTTTTATAGTTTTCAAGATAATTATAGGCAAAAATCGAAAAAAGTGGTAAAATTTGTCATTTAAGGGCAATAACTCCTACAGGAAATCGTCTGACAGTTTTGACGTATATAGATAATTGGTAGAGCTCAATATTCTGAACAGTTTTAGTCCTTTCAGATTTCCTCTCTTTATAACGGGTATCAGAATAATAGACGATACTTGCATTTTACCCCATATGTTCTATGTTTTGCTATGTCGGCCATCTTTGTTGGCAGGCAGGGTCATCGGACACATTTTTTTTTAAACTAAATACTCTAATGATGATTGTGGCTAAGTTTGATTCTATTTGGCCCAGTAGTTTCAGAGGAGAAGATTTTAGTAAACGATTACAAAAATTTACGAAAAATTGTTAAAAATTGACTTTAAAGGGCAATTACTCCTTAAGGGGTCAATTGACAATTTTGGTCATGTTAACTTATTTTTAGATCTTACTTTGCTGAACATTATTGCTGTTTACAGTTTATCTCTAGCAATAATAATATTCAAGATAATTTCCAAAAACTGCAAAATTTCCTTAAAATAACTAATTCAGGGCAGCAACCCAACAACAGGTTGTCTGATTCGTCTGAAAATATCAGGGCAGATAGAACTTCACGTGATGAACATTTTTACAAGTTGTCAAATTTGCTCTAAATGCTTTAGTTTCAGAGATATAAGCCATAAACTGCATTTTACCCCTATGTTCTATTTTTAGCCATGTCGGCCATTTTGGTCGGTGGGCGGGATCATCGGACACATTTTTAAAACTAAATACCCTAATGATGATTGTGGTCAAGTTTGGTTCTATTTGGCCCAGTTGTTTCAGAGGTGAAGATTTTTGTAAAAGATGACAAAAATTATGAAAAATTGTTAAAAATTGACTATAAAGGGCAATAACTCCTTAAGGGGTCAATTGACCATTTTGGTCATGTTGACTTATTTGTAGATCTTACTTTGCTATACATAATTGCTGTTTACAGTTTATCTATATCTATAATAATATTGAAGATAATAACCAAAAACTGCAAAATTTTCTTAAAATTACCAATTCAGGGACAGCAACCCAACAACGGGTTGTCTGATTTGTCTGAAAATTTCAGGGCAGATAGATCTTGACTTGATGAACTTTACCCCATGTCAAATTTGCTCTAAATGCTTTAGTTTCAGAGATATAAGCCAAAATCTACATTTTACCCCTATGTTCTATTTTTAGCCATGGCGGCCATTTTGCTTGGTGGGCCGGGTCGTCGGACACACTTTTTAAACTAGATACCCCAATGATGATTGTGGCCAAGTTTGGTTACCTTTGGCCTAGTAGTTTCAGCAAAGAAGATTTTTGTAAAAGTTACCGGACGACGGACGACGGACGCCAAGTGATGAGAAAAGCTCATTTGGCCCTTTAGGCCAGATGAACGACGGACGACGGACGCCAAGTGATGAGAAAAGCTCATTTGGCCCTTTAGGCCAGATGAGCTAAAAAAAGGCATATGCAGTGTACTTTTTTAAAAACATTATCATAGTGACCGATCAATGATGATATCATCCAATACAGGTTTAAATCTATTAATCTTTCAAAAATATTTCTTTAAAAATAAATGGGCAACAATTATAATTCATATAGTTTGTTCTTCAATATGATTTATTTTGTGTTTTTACAAAAAAATATCCACTTAGTCAACAAATAGTACAATGATATTCCTTTCAATACAGATACGGACGTTTGGCAGGTATTAAACATTACTTTCAATACAGGTAGGGGTGTTTGGCAGGTATTAAACAGGTATGATATTCTGCATGAGGAGAGATTAAACATGATGTATTTTGCTGTCAAATAACAAACATGTAGAAAGACCAGACAATACATTGTTCTGACGATCTATATCTTATAACGGTGGATAAAGAAAACAGAGAGAATCAAACAGATTCAACCTTCAACATTGTTTATTTAAGTTGATAATATTTTAGTTTATTCTGTCAAAAAAATATGTAAAGGAAAGACAGTTTTGTTTCATATTATTGTCACTATATTTGATTTTTTCTTCTGTTTATCCGAAGGAGAAAGCAAACCAAGATTATTAAAGTTCAAATTAATAAAACAATAAGAAGTATCTTTTCTTCATTAGAAATGTACGATTGATCAGCAAAATAACTCAATTTCTATGCATTGTGGTTGCATGTGCAATGTTTCGTCATGACGAGTATATTATTGATCCGTTTGTATTCCGGAATCTTACTATTGTATCATATTTCTATAGAGACGGTATCGGGCAGAAAATGTTATACCTTCAGAGGGGAGATGTTATAAAATATATTTTGAAATTTCCAATATACACAATAGGAAATATAAGAGCTTTGCAAATATTTTCAAAAAATATTATTTGATAATTATTCACTCAAAAATTATAACCTTTAGATTAGAGAAATAGTGTAAGCTATTAGATCTATTGTCCAAATCAAGGATTTGTAAAGTGAGAATAAACAATCCTTGTCCAAATTGAATCTATTATTTTCAATGATTCATTTTGGTTTACAAAAACAAAATCAAGAATAACCAATTGGATAACGTAGTAGTCATTAAGGTAACGAAGAAATCCTGAGATCTCTATGCCTGTGGGCAGTTCGACATTTTTAAACTGGGCTTTGGACTATTCGTCACGGATGCGGATTCCAGATTCAATAAAATATAGTTATTTGGAATTTTTCGTTTTTACCAGACCAGCTTATTTATAAGTCCAAACGACATTCATTCATTCATTCTTTTCTTTATTTCCTCTATCAAGAGCGGCTATAAACAATTATATTTAACAGATTTATCACCGGGTTTGTACATACATGAGCAAAACGACGGGTGTCACATGTGGAGCAGGATCTGCTTACAATTCCGGAGCAACTGAGATCACCCCCAGTTTTTGGTGGGGTCGTGTTGCTCAGTCTTTAGTTTTCTTTGTTGTGTTTTGTGTACTGTTGTTTGTCTTTTTGTCTTTTTCTTTTTAAGTCATGGTGTTGTCAATAGATATAAGAAGATGTGGTATGATTGCCAATGAGGTAACTCTCCATCCAAGTCAAAATTTATAGAAGTAAACCATTATAGGTCAAAGTACGGTCTTCAACACGGAGCATTGGCTCACACCGAACAGCAAGCTATAAAGGGCCCCAAAAATTACTAGTGTAAAACCATTCAAACGGGAAAACCAATGGTCTAATCTGTATAAAAACGAGAAACACTTATGAACCACATCAACAAACGACAACAACTGAACATCAGATTATTTGACTAAGGACAAGTGCAAACAATTGCAGCGGGTTTAAACGTTTTAATGGTACCAAACCTTCACCCTTATCTGAAACAATGGTGTAACATCACAACCTAGAAAGACAAATTATAAAATATCAATTGAAAGAGTTTATTTTCGACTAATGAGTTTGAATGTCCCTTTGGTATCTTTCGCCTCTGTTTTCAATTATAAAAGTTAGCAAAACCGATAACACAATACAATATGTACAGTAACTATAGATATATAAATATATACAAATGTATTTGCAAAAGAACACTTAAAAAAAATGCTCTCACAGACACTAATTAATGACCGTTCATACACTGGCACGTCACCGTATCGTCGTTCTCGTTAATCTGCAATATTCAGCAACACAGTTTACAAAGTGTACGTGGCGGAGCTTTAAAAAACTGTCAGTGTAGCTTTTGTCTGTTGTGCTGCCCAAAAAAAATACAATATA